CATAAAATAAAAAATTTATATCTTTATGTTTGAAGCCTGAAATGTGGCAAAAGGTTGAAAAGTTCAAGGGGGCCGAATACTTTCGCAAGGCACTGTATGTTGTTAACATAGACAAAACTCACAACTATGCAAACAGATGGCAGATAATGTTTAACATAAATAAGTGCAGGGTATTGCACAAAGGTAGTAAAAACATAAATTACACGTTTATAAAAACATATACTTCTTATAAAAACCTTTATAAGTAGTCCTTTGTCCCCTCTCAATTCAACTATTTAATGAAAGTATGTAAATGTATTCTCCCCTCTACCTACTGTATTTATCCATCTATTTATGTATCTCTTACTGTTATTGTGATTAAATGTGATTTTATGTGACTCAAATGTTTAACTTGTGTGTTTTGTACTTCTGTGGGAGAAGCCAAAGACAAATTTCCACAGCAGTGGACAATAAATTATCTAACTATAAAAACAACATGGAAAATGCTAAGCCAAAAGAGGTTACTTATGAAAAAGAGTTACAGTAGGTGTTTATATTGACACATCATTTGCATCTTCTAGACAATGTGGGGGACGTAATTAGATAGGCAAACAAAATGCTAGGAAATGTAGTTGAGAGCATAGCATAAAAATCAAGGGACGTTGCATTAAAATGGTAAAATGCAGCAATTAGCCCGGATGGCCTCCTCTCATTAGTAACTGTTCTTATGTACTTTCCCACTGTTTTAACCCTCATCCTCACAATTTGAGCGTTTTATGTCTCCAAGTTTATGACACAAACTAAGTATGAAAATTTTTATTTTATTCATTAAATGATTATATTGATGTTACAAATGAAAAGAAACAAACTAAAACCTGAAACTGTGATTATATCCTTACTATTCACTTTTGTGGTATGGAGTATTATACAGCAGGTGGTGGTGGAAGGAAAAAGTCCCCAGGTTCAGCCCATTAGATTGTCTTGACCCTTGGGAGTAAAGGCCACTGATTTCAAATATCTATCTGTTATTAATTGTCAGTCTAAGGACTTAAAAGCAAGTATGAAAAAGCTCTTTGTAATCTTGCAATTCCTGGCCTTGAATTTCTCAGAATTAAAACGGCTGCTAAAACACTGCTAAAGCATTGACTTGTCAGTTTCAAAACGTCATTCTAAGGAAGACAGATTTAAATTATCTAGGCAAGAATGGGGGTGATGGCACGTTAGGTTTTTCTTCTGAATACTTTTTGAAGGTGAAAAAGCATTTTGCTCACAGAAAATACCACCTGGGAACCTGGCCTTGACAGACTGTTACTAATAAACAGACATAGGTCTGGTTACTACTAAGATGGAATGTCATTAACTAAAAGCATTTGACTGAGGAGGGTTTCTATCTGATCTGTAGTTGGATGTAGCTATGCCTGGAAAATAAAGTTTATTCACCAGGGAAATGAAAGACATTATTGGCCTTGGTCTGTGTAGAAAGTGACTGAATTGAAAACTTTTACATGTTTTGTGTATGTAATCCATATAATAAGGAAGACATAAGTTTGCATCAATATTTTTTTTAATTGTCTGTTTGGGGTGAGCATTTTGTTTTTATTTTATACAGTATACGTCAACAGTCCTGGAGTTATCATAGGAAAATTTGTTATTTGTCTCAGAATTGGAACACGTTGTTTCCAATAGCTGTGGAAAATTTAATTTATGACAACTTTCCAAATATTGTTTTTTCAAAGTTACACATGATTTGATCAAACAAAAAAAGAGTTAGATGTGTTCCAGAAATCCCAGAAAGTCATTGCTCCATTTCCTAAAAGCAGCATATGTTTTTTAAATGTTGTTAAAATAAAAAAATGGTTTACAAAACATTTAATTATTCTTTCCAGGGTTACCTGAAAGTGTTTATACATTCATTTTCTTCTCCTGACTTTACAAGATATAGCAAACCAATTTGATTCTAAGTAAACCCTGAAAATCCAAGTGCCCTTTAAGATTTCCTTTCCTCTAGAGTTCCTGTTGATCAATGCAGAATGTCAAGTCTTCCACAGTGTTATTCAGATAAGCTCCTAGACTATCTAGATCTCAACAGTAGAATAAATGTTTAATGCAAGCTCTAAAAGACAGCACACTCTCTGCCTCTGACTTTTCAACCCTTACAATGTGTTATTTCAATAGAGTTCTTCTGAACCTTCATTTAGTCTATGCAACTTTCTTGCACAACCAAACAGATGCGCTATTTGATGTAGAGGTCATGTTGGGTTTGCAAACAGGTCAGGTTTATTGACGATTGTGACCCGTTATTACAGAAACACAGATAGGCAGCCTAGTGGAAATGCATGGCAAGCTGCCATGCTTGTTTGGTTCAGTTTGTAGGAATACCTAAATGGTTATGTGTCATGCAAATGGACGCACTATAAGAAGCAGGACTGCAGTTTCCTGAGAGATTACTCCTGGGGGCTCAGTGCAGTTTCTCATGATGCCTACTCTTTCTGTGATAGCTCCACCTGTCCTTATTGCACAGAATTAGAGCTCAACCAATTACCTCTGAAACCTTCTGAAGTTAAAGAAAATATTTGAATGACAAACATGTTGACAGTTTCCAAAATGAAACAGTTGCATAAAATGCATTAAATTGATTTAGTCTTAAATGCTTTCTGTAATTTTGGTTTTCTTATTTATTGCTTATTTATCTGTGTACATGTATGATATATGCACATGGATGATAACCTGAGAGAGTTGCTTGCTCCATCTGGTTCATTTGTTGACTTGTAAATGGGAATTTACAACCCTTTGTGTTAAACACAACCTCCTCATTGCTGTCCTTTTTGAACATGTTCTTCTTGATTTCCAAATGTTTGCTGGGGATCTTGTTCCTTTCTTGGTCCTGAAGAAGTCCAGAAGATGGACTACGTCAATACCTTTTAATTCTCCTCTGTTTCAGAGTAATCTGATTTAGTTTCTTTATTGTGCATGTGTGGGTTGGAACGTTAAAGTATCCACTGTATTTTGTTGCTGCTTTTTGAATTTGTATGTTCTACATTATTTGGGTGAGTTTATTCTTCGTTCTCCGTGTTTGTTACTGTATTATCATCATCATTAGATAAAGGAAACACGAAAATAGTGATCTAAAGAGACGGTGAAGCATGATTTGGGAAAATGGGAAGTAGGAAAATACCCATGTATGTATATTTATTACTGGCCCTTTAAATTAAGGATTCCGCTCTGCACATGCTCAGCTCTTTGTACTGGAGTTTTTCTGAACCAAGAACAGCAACATAAACGTTGAAGAGTGGAGGGAGTTGAATGTTCCAAAGCTTGCGGATGTACTTTGTACTTTTCAGAATGGATTAAACGGGAAACTTTACAAAATCACATGTACTGAATTCTCTGTTAAGATACAGAGTCGGGGCATGGTGAAAATGCGCTTCGAAATGTGAGCAAACCGAGTAAATTCTCTAGGTTGCTGCATCCTTCAGTGCTGCGAACAACACCAGCTACATCCATGTTATTGACTGCTGCTCCAACCATCCAGGGATTTCAAAGCTAAAATCGCGAAAGGGAAATTTTAACCTTTTGTTCCTTCGGTTTTGGCGAGGGAAAGGGTTAAGCGTTGCGGTATTCAGGGCTAGCAAAGCTACACGCGCTTTTAATTGTTAAAAAGAATTCATTGATTAAATATTTGCGCTTTAAAATGGCTGCTCATCAGAGCTTTATAGAATAGAAACAGCTATTATAAGAAATTGCATTAAGAATATATTTTTCTTTATTATGCTCTAACAATACTGTAAAAATATCGGCAGTTTATTCCTTTTGTAAAATGTTGGCGACTGTTCTGTACTGGATCATTTTATACTGAAGTTCTGACCGCGTTAGATAACGAAGTGTAATTCCTTTGAATTTGTGTGTTTTTTTTTGTCCCAGGACGAATATAAAATTGGAAGAAGATTAATATTTCGCTTTCCGTTTCTCCCTCTCCTTCTACTTTGTGTAAAGATAATGCGATTTTCCTTTTCCAGAGAAAGAAAGCGTTATTCAGTTGTCTCGTTAGGTTAAAAAGCGACATCACAATATTGTAGGAGTCTTAGTCCTTCTGAAAACAGCTGAGAATCCCCAAAACAGTAGTAATCTATTCTTTTCCAGCTCGAATAATAAAATGGGTGCTGAAAATATCTTAAGAAGAGGACTGTTTCTTTTCAAATGGCAAAACTACCCTATTTCTGGATTGAGGCACATCAACAAATACTTAGTGGTTTATATTCTTTTTTACCTGGTGCTTTATACCGAAGCCGCCTTCTCAAAATCCTGTGACAAAAATTGCTATTCTGGAAGGTGTTTCAATGGGACGTGCATCTGTGACCAAGGATGGGTAGGCGACCAGTGTCAGCATTGCCAGGGCAGATTCAAGTAAGTATTAAATAACTCAAATTAGTGTCCTTTCTGTCCGCTAGCTTGGTCGTTTAGATGGTTTGGGGGGAACAAGGGTCCTGTAGCCTGTTTAGAGGCATTGTTCTTTTGTATCCATCTTATTGCACTTTTACGATTCAATTATTACGAGTTCTGTCGTGATAAAGCTACTGCATTTTTGCCCACTTTGTTCTGGTAACACTTTACAGTAAGGGTTGCTGTGCGGTGTGGGAATGAGTGCATGCGTATTTTTTAATCTTGTTCAGGTGAATGAATCCACACAGCCTGAGCTCCAAACATTCCTTTTGTTGCGATGTGTTTTGCTGTCTCTATGGGCAAATCCTGAGACTGGATAAGTCCTCAAATCTCCACTTGAGAGCACCCCTCTTAGATTTCGTCATATCCTAACAATTTCGCTCAGCCTTATCGTTTGAGTGGAAAAGCTGGAAAAAGAAAAGAAGGCAGTATAATTGAAATATTTTGTGCGCCGCCTGCAGGAGTCTTGTATCTCGAAAGAACTGCAAATTGGGGGAGAAAGGCGTGAAAGCTTTCATTATAAGCTTGAAATTAACAAGATTATACTGTAGTATATTTGCAACCTTTGGCCTTGATGGGTTTAATGAATATGCACTATTTACATATGTCTGAGCCTCGACGGACTGTAACCCTTTTTCGGTGAAGTGTGGCACAAATTGACATTTAAGAGACTGGTTAAAAAGTGATTGTTTTCTGAATTATTTGATAATTACAGACGCGCGTTTAAGACACTCGGTGAAACATGACAAGAAGCACATTATTGTAAAACGTTTTTAAAGTTTAACACCGAGAAAAGGTAAAACCAGCCTAAAAATATTTCAAACGATGTATTTTTTCTCTTGCCCTCATATTTTCATTGTCAACCAAGTGACCTATAGGAAGAAGGAAAAAATGCTATTTTTTACTGTGCGATGTGGAAAATGTTTTTCCTACATCTTATTTTAATACTTAATTTGGTCGATGCCTTTAAACGAAGGTCACGTACAAGGGTTAAATTATTAAAATCTCAAGGCTTATCAAGGTAAACATTTTACGTCACAGAACTGCAGTATATATGCTACATTGTGAACAAAGTGCCATAGTTTATATCGTGCAGAATGCAGCAACGCGTTTTATCGTGTTTGACATTTGGTCGTTTAAAATATTTGACTGGTAACTATTGTCTGAGTTTATGTTGAGAGATTAGTCTCTTAACGACACTAAATACAATACAATTTAAGGTATCTAAGGTATGGTCTTCAGAAACAGGTGATTGGAATGGCAAAGGCGTTCCTTCAGTTTTTATTCTCCTGCAAGAATCCCATGTTAATAACAGTTTTCTCTAATATTAAAACCTCGAAATCTAGAAAAATGTTAATTCCATATATATGATGCATTGTTTTACAATGTCACCTATTTTACCCAGTCTAACTCCGAGTGACGTGAAACTGCATGTGTGAATTTTGGGATTCTTCCTTTTCGATAAACCCGATAGTCAATTTCTCAATTTCTAGTGGTTAATACTTTCTTTTTGTGCTTCATTAGTATAATCACTGTCAGAATGGTGTTTTGCTGCACAATTTTTTAAAGTTGGTTTGGTTGCTCTGTGCAGGAATACAGAGGCTGCCATTTAAAGTTATACAAAAGGACGAGGGTTTTGCCTATTGACTTAAGGTGCGGAATATTGAAGTTTAACAAGTAAGTCCTATTTCAGGTAACAGTCTGGTAAGGTGATTTTATTTTTCACGTGGCGGCGGCGTTCATTAAAGTTTAACAAAGCTGGATTTTTCTCTTGATTGGCAATAGGCATATACGATGTCTGTCGATTTTGGCAGCTAGAGACTTGTTACAACACAAGTGCTAATTTTCTTGGAAAATAACAACGTTTTTAAACAGTGAGAGACCTGGTGATACTTCGGTGCTATAAAGATGAATGTGAAATGACAAAGGTCTATTTGCTGTCTGGAAAATGCCAGTTTTTAATGTAGAGTGATCAAACTGATTTTCTAATGCCCGAAAGATAATTCCTAGCATTGCCTTGGTACTTTTAATTCCCCAAGGATAGCGTGTATAGGAGAGTTACACTGTATATATAAATGCAAAACCCCAGATTCCAAAAGTTTAGAACATCTATATATTTTCTAGGAATGCTTAAATCTGTATAGAAATGCAGCATAAACATCTCTGTTTTTATGGCTCTGCATTGTATTGTCTTCCACAGGTCCTATCTTGTTTTGATGTTATAAGGGTCGCCCTGGAAGTCAAATTACATCTCTTCTGGGCTAAACATTATCTGCATGATTATAAGGAAGGGATGGCATAAGAAGGGGTTTTATGATTTGTTTTTTAAAAAAAAAAAACAAATTTGTTTAAGTATTTACATCACTTTATTTCTTTATTTCAGTTCTACAACATACAACAATGCATTTTATACATATTAAAGAAAACTTAACGAGAGACCTCGATCAGATTTTAGCATTTGTCTGTACCTAGTATTTTTTACGTCTTGAAAATTAGTGAAGAATTGTTCTAAAAATAATAAAAGAAAATGACAGAATAGCACAAACTAAGGCCCAAAGTGCTGACAACTTAATTTATTAGGCCTGTCTCTAAGTGTTATTTTTTGTTTTTATGTCACTAGTTTAATTTCTTTAAAAAAAACTCAATTATAAAACTTTAAAGAATATATTTTTGTGGACACTATTGTAAATGATACTGGATATCAGTTTTGTTTTAAGTCAGATCTTATGTTTTCTTTTTTTATAAAGGTGAATTGCTTAATTTTTTTCAGAAAAAAATACATTTTGTTTTATAAGGAACAGATAAGTTATACACTGCCCTACACTTGCCAGCACTATTAACTTTAATGTTTTATATTTGCATTGTTTAGGTATTTCATTAGTTATGTGCAGTTGTTTACTAGACAAAATGTGCTGAATGTTTATTTTTAATGTTAAAGTTAAATATTTTAACAGTGTTTGACTATTCATTTCTAGCTGCATTCCTCAGTCCTTAAAATGTAAAACATTGACAAATATTAACACAAAGAATTTTTCTACTGTGTAAATTTAAATTGTAGTTTGCAGAATAAGACTGAACATGTGAATTTACTCATTTGATCCAATAATGCTATTTGCTGATAAAACAGTGCATGGAATTGTTTTGAGATGGCCTTTTCTGTTAAAAAAGGTGTTATATTGTGTTTTGAAATCAGCAGATCTGAAGTGTGAAACAAACAAAAAGTGCCAACAAAAGTAAAAAGCAAACAAAAAAACAGGAACATCAAAAAGACAAATGAAAATCAGCATTTATACACTAAGTGTCTAACTTGAGACTTCTGTGCATTTGATATGCTCATGGGTTTGAAGTTCACATTTCCTTTTAGTGAAGAATGTAACCACTTTATCTGGTCGTCATACCCGATGATAAGCATCATGCAGAGTGATAGAATGGTGATGTAGAGTGAAGCTGAAGTGAAGGAGTTAAATACATGTATCCCTCATGAAAGGAATACTTGCTCACTAATATAAGTGAGGCCTTTACACACATTATTGTTATACGAGTTAACTTTCCGCTCTGATATGAGCACCAACCATGTAGCTTTGTATTTCATTTATATTTTTCACTCCTTTCAACTGTTCTCTTAACTATCTTAAGATGAGTTGTAAAGGTTTTATATTATAGTGTAGAATAATGTTTTGAATCTACAATTTGTATGCATTATATTGTTTTGCTAATTTTATCTTGCATGTGCACACTATGAACTATCAAAATCACCAGATAGCTTGATGTTCTATCTTACTTTTACAGTTATGGGTTTTATGCTGTTTTTGACAGGTTTCACTTAAGATCAACAGTTTGTTTGGTAAACATTTTTGATTAAGTTCATGCCATTTATTGTTCATGTGCACTATATAAATTGTACAAATTGTATGAAAAATGAAATTTGTTTTATAAACAACAGGTATATTTACAAACTCTATTTTTATACATTTCTGCATATGTATCACGGAGTGCCAATAATTCCAGAGTCCACTGTAGCTGCTTCATTATACATTTAAACGTAACAGGTTTAGAAGTGTTGGTGAATTCTAATTGTTGTAACATACTTAGGAATTTATGGTGCCAAATACATAGGAAAGGTACCCCTGTTCAAGTGGTTTATGCCCGGTTACAAGAATAAGGACATTTATGAGATTTAGCCTACAAGCAGACATTTTGGAACCAACTGTGTTCGTACAGTGAGCGATTTTTTTTTTTCTTTTTTTTTTTTGGAACGAAAGTTAGTCTCCTGATTAATCAAAACGAATCAAAACTTAATCATTTCTGGTAACTGTATAACTGGGCTGTTCTAGTGCTCAAAGGAAATACTCAGTTGTTGTTGTATCTCATGCTGAATAAATGATACATGCTTTTATTTAATCAAGATTATGTACTGGAGTTTCTACTAAGCTACAGTTGTAGGTTTCCCTGGCTAAGGGCATTTGCTAAGTAAATAAATAATGCAACATTCTGTCCAGAGTTCTGTGGCTCATGTGCTAACTAATGCCACTCTACTTCAGCATGTAAGGCCTATCCTGTGTAAATTAAATTTTTGCCTCGTGACATTTTGAGTGGATTTAAAGGTTTTCCCCTGCTCTCCAGGCTACTTTAAGCACAGTATTGAATATAGACCAATACTTAATCTGAAGTGCATTCTTATTCTACTGAAGACCAGGGAGAATACAATAGGCGATGGAGCCTTTTCATGTGAAGCTTCATGACAGTGAACCATGTTGGCCAAATCCATTTTAGACTTTTGTGATTATGGATTTTGAATTTGTTTGTGTCTTTTTTTAAAGCTCACTTAAAAAAAATAGTTTTTACAGGAGATTTAATACATAACATTGCAGTGTTGTTTTTACTGGATCACTTAAACTTTTCCATTGCTATTACAAACTGCAGGACCCGTGATCCAATATTGTGTATACCTATCGTAGTTAGTG